CAGTCTGGGTGACAGAGTGAGACTCCAACTCAAAAAAAATAAAAAAATAAAAAAATAAAATAAAATAAAATGGCGTGGTATTTGCATACCACACCCATATACTATAAATCTAGTAGTATCTATGCACATCTTCCCATATACTATAAATCATGTCTAAACCACTTTTAATACCTAGTACAATATAAATGCTACATAAATAGTTGTATTGTTTAGGGAATAATGACAAAAAAGATTTCTACATGTTTAGTACAGACACAACCATCCGTTTTGTGTTAAGTAAGAAATATAAAGCTATGATAGTCATCTCAAACCTTGATTGACTTTGGCAGCCAAGTCTACAAAAAGGTCACTGTCATTTTCAATGATCTGAGAATCAGAGCGCTTTTTCTTTGTCTCTTCAATTACAAAATCATAGAGGGCAAGACGATCAGCTTGAGTTAAATCACAAACAAATCGTTTGTGATTCAGAGGCACTTCAACAGGCAATGAAGAATAAATTCCTAGAGTAAAAATAAAACCACAAGAATAAACAATACATGAAGCATTGTGGACTTAAAATAGACTACTTATCTTTAAACATGTACTTTAATAATACAATATTAACACAAACTATTTTTTCATAGTAATCCTTAAATATACAAAATATCAATCTATGCAATAAATGGCAAACAATAACTTTCTCCTGAATGCTATATCCACAGAGAGGATGTATTATGGATGTTTGCTATTTTTTCCAACAATGTTAATATAGATCTCATGAAGGCAGGCAGAAATAACCATTAGAGACAATTTGCTCTAAGGAAACCTTCTGAGTAACAATCTTTAAAAGGCTACTTATATCACAAAAGTAGGGTTATCTTCCTGTTTTTATGCTTTTCCCCATAAAAGCTGAAAAAAAATGCTCTTAATAGGTAATACATATTACCATCTTTTTGAAAATAAACTATGGAAATATCTTTAAATGTGTAAAAAATGTATTTTTTGAATGAGACATCAGGCTAGATAGTCAATATTCAAAATATATCCCACTTGTGCAATGTCTTAGGGTTAGGGCAAAAACTCAAATTAAGTGGCAGAAATTCCATGCTTCCTCAGACCAGAGAAAGATTACATTGAAACTAAACTCATTTTAATCTCCTGAGGAGGAAGCATATTGGCTTAACCAAATTAAGCTCATAGGCATGCCCTCCTGGTAATTACAGAACTTTCTAAAATCTGCTCATTAATTTAAAAAAAGTAAATACAATACCTTGATATGATGTACTAAACACTGAAGAAAATTTTTGTTTTGAGATTCAAATTTTCTCAAATAAAAAAATGATTGGAACTGTAAAAAAAGCAATTTAAAACAATTCTTTCTAGACTTCATTATTCACTAATGCAAACAAGAACATGAGCTACTAAAGAAATACTTTTAAAGCAGTAACTCGGGTTCATAGAATAATGTAAAATCAGTAGCTCTTCCCAGATACTTTCATATTTCATAAAGCCTGACCTTGTTAACAGTTCTTAGATGGAGGCAAAAGAAGAATTCAAATAAGAGCATACCACAAACTAAGCATTACAATAAAAAAGAAATGACTTTACATTTCTCTACAAACTAAGAGAAGAGCTCACTGGATCTGAGAACCTGGCTTAATAGCTATGAATAACAATACATGTTCTTTCTAGTCAAAGAGTTTTGAATTAGTGGGAAGGCAGGGGTCCCTTCGAGTCAATCAATTTTATTCTAATTCCGGTAGGCACGGAGGAAAAGCCTTTTTATGTAGCCAGGTGTTAAAATATTTAATTTTAGCAACTGGCAGTTGCAGGGTACTGCTAGGAGAGGAAGCGGGGTACATGATAGCAAAAGGGTACCTGGTCCACTAACAGGGAGAGTGAGGGCCAGTTAGAAGCCCAAACCTCACCGGCATGTAGTCTATTTATATAGTTAAACCTCACTTGTATCCCACAACTCTGTAATACATTTCTAAAAATATTTAATTTTGTAATATAAAATTACGAAAAGTTAGTTTTGATAAGCTTAATTCCTTTAAATATAGGCTATAAATATCCAGGAGAAAAACACAAAGATTAGAAAACAACGATGTATTACAAACAAGTTTCATATAAACCTTTGTCTGTTATTTTCAAACAAAGAAATATAATTTCCTCCTTAAAATATTTTGGCATTTTGAAAAATTTATTCATCTTAAATTTCTTTATGGTGAAGATTGATAATTAAATTCCTTGACATTCAATCAAAATTTCAAATCAAGACTACAATATTGCGACAGCTATTAAGTTAAAGCTTAGAAACTACAGTGATACTTTTAAAAGGATATCATTTGCAAAAAGGATACTGCATATCTTTAAATAAGGAGTACATTCAGGTTCCTAATTCCTCTTATACTCACCCCAATTACTGAAAAAGAAAAAGTACAGGAAAAGTTAAGCAACAAACTGCGTTTAAATCATTCAGAACATAAGAAAAAGAATAAACATACTTAAATAAACTTACATTTACATAAAATGTAAATTTTCAAAATGCATGTTTCTATATGATTTAAAGGTATATCTGAATGTACTGTAATCATAGTAACTCTACAAACTCTCTAGATACCTTTTATGCAGTAGCTTTTAAAAAAAATTGTAGCAAAATATCTGTAACAAAATTTAACGTTTTAACCATTTTTAAGTGTATAGTTAAGAGACATTTAAGTACATTCACACTGTTCTGCAACCATCACCTCCATCCATCCCTTTTCATCAACCCAAACTGAAACTCTAATCTCCTGTTTCAATAATGCTGATTCTCACTTTTCCTTGTTAGTCACTTTTGCCATCACAGGGCATCTTAAACATATGACATACAATATTAAATAGCAGTAGGTGGTATTGTCACACCTCTCTAAAATCAGAGATAAAATAAGGCCCACAGAAGAAACATGACTTTCCCAGTCTCCCAAGTGACAGGAACAGTCTAAAGCTATTCTACCCTGTTTCTTTAAGGTTCTTTAATAGTACGCTGATCTTCAAATCATGGCCACGACTCAAATATACTTCATTAAATTGAAGTATAGCAACTTCACAGATCTCATGATGTTTCAAGCTTTTATAAAGGTTAACAGATTGAGAATTGTGCACATTGGGTTTAGGCCTGACATGACGAATAAAATGAAAACATACATAAAACCGTGTCAAAAAACTTACATTTTACTGCATAACAAACAAAATATTATCAGATGAGGAAATGTAAAATAGTTTCATGTTAGTCATTTTCCTTTCAAAGTAAATGAATCAATAAGAAGATACTTAAAGAATTTCTTGTCCTGGGGTAAAAGATTTTAAAATGTTTAAGACATAAGCAGGCCACAAAAATAACCTCTTGGGAAACTGCATAACTTTACCAGTAATTAAAAAGAAATTTTAAAAAGAGGATTACAGATTGTAAAAAATAGTCATTCTTAACAATTAAACCTTAATTTAAGATAATGTAAGAATTCAAAATCAGGCTGAGTATGGTAGCTCATGCCCAAAAGCCCAGCATTTTGGGAGGTTGAGGGGGGAGGAATGCTTGAGGCCAGGAGTTCAAGACCAGTCTGGGCAACATAGCAAGACCCTATCTCTACCAAAAAATAAAAAAATTAGCTGGGTGTGCTGGTGTGAGCCTGTAGTCCCACCTCTTTTGGAGGCTGAGGCAGGATTGCCCGAGGTCAAGGCTGCAGTGAGCCGTGATCATGCCACTGTACTTCAGCCTGTGCGATAGAGTGAGACCTCAACTCAAAAAAAAAAAATTCCAAAATCAAATAAAGTTCCTCTTAACTATTTCTTGAAAGAACTATTTATTCAAAGTAGTTCTTTGTTTTTGTCCAAATATATCTTATTACCCAGTAATGTTAATTAAAAAAACAGAATATTTTCTAAATTACTCATATATATAAAACTCACTCATTTCATTATCTTAATATTGCTTTCTGTACATTAATTTTCATTTAGATAATAGGAACTACCAACTATTGGAGCCAGGGCTACTGAAACACTTTCTCTGTTCTCAACAACTCTTCAAGATAGTTTTATATTACAGACAAGTAAACAGAAACTCATAGAAGCTGTCGTTAATAATACAAGGCCAAGCCGGGGTCGGTGGCTCAACCTGTAATCCCGCACTTTGGGAGGCTGAGGTGAGTGGATTGCCTGAGCCCACGGGTTTGAGACCCGCCTAGGCAACTTGGCGAGACCTCAACTCTACAATAAATCAAAAATTAGCCCGGTGTGGTAGCACGCTCCTGTAGTTCCTGCTATTTGGAAGGCTGAGGCGGAAGGATCGCCAGAGCCCAGCAGGTCGAGGCTGCAGTGGCCGGGAGCGGCCACTGCACTCCAGTCTGGGCGACAGAGTGAGACTCCAACTCAAAAAAAAAAATAATAATAATACAAGGCCAAGCAGCTAGTTTATTTCTTTAAAATAGGCTAACATAAAGCAGAATAAATAATAAACACTGAGGTCACAGTGAGTATGTACAGAAGTGAAGTTTGTGATATTCTTCCACTTAACCATGGCAGACATAATAAATGCATTTCAGCAATATCTAGACTCTAGTCCATAAATTTCACTAAATGTAGGGAGTTTCTAACAGAAAGTAAAGCAACTCAGTTCAGAGTTTGTGCTGTAATTCAGAACTTGGTTCTGGATTTGGCTTTACTATTATCTAGCAGAAATGAGTTACTTCACTTTTGTGTGCCTGTTTCTTCACCTTAACCATATTAGGGAAAAATACTTGTCCAACCTATCACAAGGTTATTGTAAAGGAGAAATGAATACATAAAAGAGCCTGGAAAAAGTCATTTATAAAGTAAAAACATGGAAGACCTTTAGAACAAAACATAACAGAACTTTATCATATCTCTATCAGACAGTTTGTTTCCTTATCTATAAAATGCAGACACTGGGTTAGATGATCTCCAAGTTCTCTTTCAACTTTAAAATAATTTCAGTAAATAATATTAACTGGGCCAGGCACGGTAGCTCAAGCTTGTAATTCCAGCACTTTGGGAGGGCAAGGCGAGAGGATTGCCAGAGCTCAGGGGTTCGAGACCAGTCTGGGCAACTTGGAGAGACCTCATCTCTACAATAAATCAGAAAATAGGCTGGGCGTGGTAGTGCATGCCTGTAGTTCCAGCTACCCGGAAAGCTGAGGTGGAAGGATTGCCTGAGCCCAGCAGGTCGAGGCTGTGGTGGCCATGAGCGTACCACTGCACTACAGCCAGGGCGACAGAGTAAGACTCTGACTCAAAAAAATAATGATATTAACCCTTCCAAAAACCTCTACTTTTTTATAGGTGAGCTAACTAAACAGGGATAATGAGTAGAACGAATAACAGAAGCTAAAAAAGGCTTGACTGGTCACAGCTAGGTCATCTCTCCAAATAAAATGATAGTCAAATGTCTGCCTCAAAGAAAAAAATCTGGAATTTAGGTGACAGGCACAGAAGTGGGAACTTCAAAACAGAAAATGCAAGAAATGTGCTTATTACTATTGTAGGGAATCCACTCAATGTAGACAGCTAAGGGTATGATGGTCTTCCTTCTTAAGTCACAACCAACTCAGAGAAATCAAGTTTAGACACTGGCTTACACCAATGTCTGGCAAAGACCTTGAACTTCAACAAAGGAGAATACCAACCATGATTACCGCCTGGGGAATCTAATTCAGCTAAAAAAAAAGGAGTATGGAGAAAACAAGGTGAGACATCCAGAGAAAGCTACCTACAGAAAGTTCAAACACAACTAAGAAATTCTTATTATAAGAGGAGCCAGTCAAGCTTTGGCTAGATGTCATAACTAGGTTCATGAGAAATCTAAATTCTTATTAACTCATTTATGACTATGCTTTTCATGGATTAATTTTTCTTTCAATTTCCTAAATGCTTATGCTTAAAAATTCTAACATAATCTCTGTTGAAGTCCCAGACAGGAACTCTTTAACCTAGCTCCAAAGTTGGGCATGAAGGGATCCACAAATCCTTGAAATTATACATAGATGACAAAGCCAGGAAAAATAAATAAATAGTAAAATTTTTGTGTTTGTGTTTTTTTCTGAGAAGGGGTTCCTTAACATTCATCATCTCAAAGCGATCCAAGATCCAAAATGATTAAAAACAACTCATTTAAGGGATAATAACCTGAGGGTGGCAGTGGAAACAAATCTCTTTTAGCTTAAGTCATTCTTTATATTGTATTTCAACATTCTCAAGAGGAACCTCAGGGTAAGACAAACTCAATGTCATTACAGATGCACCTCAACTTATCACAGGGTTACATCCAGATAAACTCATCATAAATTGAAGGTATCATTAAATCAAAAATGCAACCCAGCAAGTCTTTGATAAAAGAATTACCAGTGCTTCAAATCTGAAGCTTGCGATTGTGTACTGCTTTTATACCACTGCAAGGCTGAAAAACCCTGTATCAAACCATTGTAAGTTGGGACCACATATATTTACTAAATAATAATTTTTTAAAAATTATCCACAGGGCATTCTCACCTATAAATCACCAGGTAATTCCAAAGCATGAACCTCTAACTAAGAAAGTGTCCCAGTGAGATTCTGGTGTATGTCAGTAGGAAATATCTAATAAATGAAGTTGAAACAAAGCGGATTAGCCCAATGTTAAATGTAAAACTTAACCTTTCCCATAACTGTCTTCAAAAGATTTTTCTTAAAGAAAATTAGCAACATGTGCCGTAGGAAAAAAAAATTTTTGATTCACTAATTTGCTCAAACCATGATGCCACTTACTTTGATTATAGCAATCACCATCTTTTCCAGTTGCAGTTCTAGCTTGCTTAATTATCTGGAATTGTGAGTCCTTATCTATCAAAAAGAAATCCATAAATACATTATGAATCATCAGTGTTCAAAATTATATATTAATTGATTTTCAATCCAAGCACTTTGAGCACACTGATAAACCTTCCGAATCTTGAGAGAAAATATCCACATCACTGCCTCCGTAATCTGAATACAAAATTATTTCAGATATATCTACAGTCCACTAAGTAACCAGACTTCAAGCAGCTCAGAAAAACACTATAATTAGGCATGCAGCAGAAGCAGCTATAAATTTTAGTGACCAATAACAACTAACATTTCTTGAAGCCTATGCTTTAATTGGCCCTCTAGCTGCCTCCAGCTAAGTATATGACATACCACTTAATCCTCAAGAAGTACTATTATCATCACTCCCGTTTTATAAAGAAACTGAGGCAACAAACAAATTAATCAACCTCTATCTATGCTATGAATCCCTGGAACATATTTCCATCCACAGATTCAATCTGTGTTCTGTGCTCATATTTTTGTTATAACAAAAGAAGCAAGGTATCTGCCGTACTGTTCAAAGCTTTGTAGGGTTTTCACTATGTATTAATATAAGCCTGGTACCTAAATTTCAGATTATATGAAGTAGTTACCCTGCACATTAATTAACAGGCATTCTTTTTTTTTTTTTTTGAGTTGGAGTCTCACTCTGTTGCCCAGACTGGAGTGCAATGGCCGCTC